ATCCTCCCTTTGTTGTCCTTCTTCCTTCTAGCCAAGTTCCGTCGAAAACCCTACCCGCCCGGCCCAAAAGGCTGGCCGTTGATCGGGTACTTGAACTTGATGGACCACTACTCGCACCGCGGGCTCGCCAAGCTAGCCGACAAGTACGGCGGCTTGGTGCACTCGCGAATGGGCTCCCTCCACATGGTCGTGGTCTCAGGCCCGGAGGAGGCCCGTCAGGTGCTCCAGACCCACGACGGCGTCCTGTCCAACCGGCCCGCCACCGTCGCCATCAGCTACCTGACGTACGAACGGGCCGACATGGCGTTCGCCCACTACGGCCCGTTCTGGCGCCAGATGCGCAAGGTGTGCGTCATGAAGCTGTTCAGCCGGAGGCGGGCCGAGTCGTGGGACTCGGTCCGGGCCGAGGTCGACCAGATGGTCCGGACCGTGGCGGCGAGCGCCGGCTCGCCCGTGAACGTGGGCGAGCTGGTGTTCGGGCTCATGAAGAGCGTCATATACCGGGCCGCGTTCGGGTCCCAGTCCAAAGAAGGCCAAGAGGACTTCATCTCCATCCTCCAAGAGTTCTCAAAGCTCTTTGGGGCATTCAACATTTCGGATTTCTTCCCTTGGCTGAAGTGGGCCGACTTGCAGCGGCTGAACCCGAGGCTCGCGGAGGCTCGGGCCCGGCTCGACCGGTTCATCGATGTCATCATCGATGACCACATACAAAAAAGGAGTAATGGTGGTGGGAATGGGGAGGTTTCCGGCGACAACGCGGCGGCGGAGAGCGACATGGTGGACGAGCTGCTGGCGTTTTACGGGGAGAAAGCTGAGTTGAACGAGTCGTCAGAAGATTTGGTGAATGCCATTAAGCTAACAAAGGATAATATCAAAGCCATCATAATGGTAAGTGCTTTAATTACATTAATTGCATGCACATTTCTCTCCTCCTTGAAGCGTTTTAAATTTCTTTCCTCCTATTAATTATATTTTCTCCATCTTTATCACTATTTGATCACTATTTTATACTCTGGGTAGTTATTAATTAGCTTCCGGCGTGTTTGACCACAACTTGGGCTTTTAGTTTTAGGATTGAAAAAAAGTTATCTTTTTTTTTCTAAATATAAAAAAGATATCTGATAAAAGCATTTTGTTCCAATATTTTCAAAATTAAATTATATTTTTAATAAGTAATCTAAACACTAACAGGAATTTAAAAAGACCTTCCCAAACAAGACCTCCATCTCTACCCTATTCGTACGGTCAATATTTATATGTAGATATATATTGTAATAATATGATACGTAATATTTTCACAATTTTATTTTAAAATTAATTTATTAATAATGTGGCTAAAAAGAATAAGAAACTTATCTTGAAACAAACGTAAAGAAATAAAAAAAATATATAATTTGGGACAACGAGTATAAATTGGTTGTTAACATATTCACATCACTAAAGTAATTATGGTACTTTTACCGGTTTAGAGGAAAAAAGAGAAACATGTTTGCTTTTAGAATTTTGAAAAATACAAGAATAGAAAAATACGGAGTATAATATTGGCTAAAGTTTCATTTTCTTTTGAAATTGGATTTTTTAGTTTGTCAAAATTAAGGTTTAATCTCCGGAAAAGGTACATTGCAAAATCTCCTAAAGAAATATTTTACTTGGCAAATTCTTTTGTAGTATTCATGTTCACACTTATAATATACGGAGTAGATCTTAATACATAAATTGATTGAATCTATTGTGCCTTGTAATGTAACGAGATCCAACTATGAATTAATTAATTTTTTTTAAGAAAGTTCACATTTCGCGATAGCACAACTCATTTTATATTATTATTCAAATAGTCAAAGTATATCAGTTTTATTGCATACGTTGTATTATTATTGATCATTTAACAAAAAATAGTAATGTCACCTTTTGTATTTTATACTCTCTCTGTTTTTAAAAACACTTTCTATTCCATTTTTACGTGCAAAATTATATCTTTTTAAAAATGACTCTATTTTTAAATTGGTATACAAATAAAAAGTAAAACTTAAATATTTAAGAACTTCAAAAAGTATTTTACCAAACAAATAGTGACTTGAATATTTATTTTTTCAAATGAAAAATTAAAGAAATACACGCAAACAAAAGTTATCAGGATATTTTGAATAGTAAATAGGCAAGGTTTTGGACTTTTGGCAAATGGAAGGAGTAGAACATTTGATATTGTTTTTAAATTCTCTATTTATCTCATATGTTTCTTCTCATTTTAATTTTTGTGATCAATGTTTTAGAGCTTTTCCCACAAATTACAGGAAAAATACTCACAATTTTTAAAATTGAATTAAGATATAAACTTAATTCTAATAGATACATTTAAAAATGTAATTTGAAATATCATATATTTTTAATCTATATTTATACGTATTTTTTAAATAAAGATATTAATAATCAAAGTGTGATACTAGAAACCGTGAAAAAATAAAATGAGAAAAAAAGAGTATATAGTTTTTTGTTTCTATTTTCCACCAATATTATTAAACTCGCAATGTTTGTTTTATTTAAAATGGTTTCAATTTAACATTGCAAATCAAAACTAGATGGAAGGATTAGTGAACACAAACGGTAACTTTAGTTCGGTTTTTAAGGCCAACACGAAATTGATTTCTAACACGACGGAAAAATTAATGGACATGACAATCTTGTTTAATAATCTATATATGCCATATAGGGCCCATTTTTACTTCAAAGTTTGATGGACATATATACATTAAACATGTCATTTATGGAAATGTAAGGCTCCTCCTAAAAGTTATTGACTTGTCCTAATTAGATTCTCCCTCCATTTTTTAAAATACTTCCACCTTAATGTTTACGCACTTCATAAAATACTTTTACTTCTATCACAAATATCTAAAATATTACTATTATGTACTCTGTAGTTTATTATAGATAGAAGTTATTTTGAAGGTATTTTAGATATTTTAAGTAGAGAAAAAATATTTTATAGGGTACACAAAAATTTAAAGTGAAAATATTTTCGAAAACGGAGAGAGTAGTATGTACTTTGGACTAGTCAAAATAGCCATATATGTTCAAAGAATTTAAGGGTAGTTGAAAGCCATATAGTGACTATAGGTACATATCTCTAAAATACTCTCTTCTAAAATACTTTAATTTTACGCAAAATGAAATAAAATTCAATTTTTTAAAATGATTTTATTTAAATATTGATATTAAAATTAAAAATTAAATATACATATTTAAGAACTTAAAAGTTCTACAAAATAAGAGTTGACAATAATATTTTATTTTTTCAAATAATTTATCAAAATATACAAATAAACAAAATTTCCAGTGACTTTTGAATAGCGTAATTCTTTTAGGAATAGAGGGAGTACATAATATGGATTGTGAACCTTTGGTGTTAAACTTGGTATGATCATAACATGATCTTTTCTTTATTTATTGTATTACTCTCTATTTTAATTTTTAACTTAGCCAGTTTAAATTTATTACGTGATAATCTATATTCAGGACGTAATGTTTGGGGGTACCGAAACTGTGGCATCAGCAATAGAGTGGGCCATGGCGGAGGTGATGAAAGCGCCAGCCGAACTCAAGAAGGTTCAAGAAGAGCTCGCTGCTGCCGTCGGTTTCAACCGGAAAGTGAACGAGTCTGATTTAGAAAACCTACCCTACTTAAAATGTTGCGTGAAGGAGACGCTCCGACTGCACCCGCCTATCCCTCTCCTCCTCCATGAGGCAGCCAAGTCATGCGTGGTCAATGGGTACCACATCCCAGCCAAGTCGCGCGTGGTGATCAACGCATGGGCCATCGCGCGAGACAAGAACTCTTGGGACGACCCGCACAGTTTTAAACCTGAAAGGTTTCTCAAAGATGGGGCTCCAGACTTCAAAGGGAGCCATTTTGAGTTCGTACCTTTCGGGTCGGGCAGGAGGTCGTGTCCAGGAATGCAACTCGGGTTGTACGCGCTTGACATGGCCGTCGCCCAACTTCTTCATTGCTTCACGTGGGAATTGCCAGATGGGATGAAACCGAGTGAGCTCAATATGGACGACGTGTTTGGTCTCACTGCGCCATTAGCGAGTCGACTCATCGCCGTACCCACCCCACGTCTCTTGTGTCCTCTCAATTGAAAGTCAAAATCTAAATACAGCTATAAGTATGTTTGTCTAGTTTAATTTTTTTCTAGTTAAACTGGCCGAATTTTGATCAAGATTAAATAAGAATTGCATGATATATTGATACAATGATATCATTCTCGAAAGTGTATTTTGCAAGGTAAATTTAATGAAGTCATTTCAATATTAACATGCAAAGCAATTTGTATTTAAATGATGATCAAAGTTCCTTCAGTTTGATTGAAAAAAGTAAAACTGAACAAATACACTCCAACCACCGTAAAGGTTCATGTTTGGTCCACAAAAGTTTCATACACCGTAGAAGCTAAAGTAGATTTTATATGTAAAAGAGCATATACTTGTGAAATCATACTCTGTATTTTATACAGAGTATAAAATAAAAATTTAAAAATACTCATAACTAACAAAAGAGTTTCCAAAGATATAAGATGGTTGAACATGGGAACCTTGCAAGCAATAGGACGGGATAGTTTTAGGCAAAGTTTGGTGGAAGACGGAGGTCCTAAAACGTATGGTCACTTAAAACTCCAATATTTGACATTTGTTAAATATAGACAAATTTTCCCAAAAAAGAAACCTACCCAAGAAAAGCCTATGGCTTCACTGTGAATCTACACTTGCATATTTATTTGGTATGATTTTATCTTCTGTTAGGTAAGATATACTCGTTTACACCATAATATTAACCAATTAAAGTCTAAACTTATTGATGTAATTTAGAACCTGAAAATACGAGGACAAAAACTTAAAGCTTTATTTTTGTCCCAAAAAAGTTAAGTAACTTAGTTTGACCCCAGAGTCTAGTCTTCTCCAGCCTCAAATTTCAATTCTCAAGATTCCAATTTCTACACATAAGACTCTACAAAACTAATTTACTTATTTTTCCAAATTCATAAACCAAACTACGATTTCTNATTGGAGAGGCATTGGGGTAAGAGATATAACCCAAGTTAGAAATCATACTTTGGAAATATGTGGTCAGTCCAGGGTATTGTGCTAAAGACCAGACAGCATTGAAAATTAAAAACCAAATTCTAAAAAAAGAGCATAATAATGAAGAACAATAATCATGGGTGTAGAGTTGAAAATCTCTAACGCTTCTTGGAGACACCGACAGTCTTTCCCCTGCGTCCAGTAGTCTTAGTGTGCTGTCCACGTACGCGAAGACCCCAGTAGTGTCGCAGACCACGGTGGTTCCTATCATTCATTTTCAAAAGAATGAGTCAAACACCAAAAAAGACATAGCAGCTAAGGGGACATTCTGAATTGGAAATTACACATGACGAACACATGCATCAGTTGAGATAGTACAACAAGCTCAGAAACATCTCATAAAAAGTAAAAGATGGAGCTTACAAAGACCTTAACCCTGCTTGGAAGTAAGAATTTTATTGGGATGAGATCAATTGTGATAGTAATTGATGGGATCCCATCTGGTCATTTGCTGAATTTTTACTCTGCCTATTAGGGTTTAATTGTTGATCTTTTCTTTTCGGGGTGTCCGAAAGTAATAGTCTAGTTACTATATTTGGCGAATAAAACTACATTACTAGCCCAACATACTCCCTTGAGGTATAAGTGTACAACAATCAAGGGACACATCGAGAATTGCTCCAAATCTCTGGTTGTATAAATGATACAACAAGCATTTTGCCCGGTTCATAATCCTCAATATTTGATTACATGTATGAAATACTCCCAGCCCCAAATTAAAAGTCCACTTTAACCGGACACGGAGTTCCACAATAGTGTTGAAAAATGAAAAATGCATACTTGGAACTGATTTGAATAAGAGAAATAATGATGGACCAAACAAGAAATTATATTTAATTTGGAACGAGGGAAGTAAAAAGCATTTTGGTTATATATATGAGGGCATGACCGCAGCTAAGATCCCTTGGGCATCTTAGACAAGAGTTGTAGGATAGACTAAGATAGGATTGGTAAGCTAGGTCCTAGGTGTTTAGGTCTGTCAGGGTTATTGGTCGTGTGAGTGCTTCCTTTGTGGCCCTATCCATTTGCAATCTTTGTTGGTAACTTCGTTTCTCTCCCCACTCGTATTTGTTCTCCTATCTGTTTATGTGTTGGAATCCAATAACGAGTGTTTATTTTCTGTTCTTTGAGTCGTGGTGCTTTTGGAAAGAGTTTATTGACCTTTTCAGGTAGGAGTAGGTTTTACAGACACCAACCCCTAGACCCCATCTGTGGAATTTTACAATATTGTTGATTTTGTAACAAAATCTTTAAGGGTCCTTTTGGAACAAGGAAAATGACTTCTGGAAAATGACTTCTAAAAACTGAATTATTTTCCTGAAAACATTTTACGCTTCCAGTGTTTGGATAGAAGTCTGAAAATTGTGTGTATGTGTTTGTTACATTTTCTAAAATTTCTCTGCTCCTTCGTATATTTTTGAATTGAGACTCTTAACACAGAGCATTTCTAAAATTTCATATCTTTTCTGCCTATGGTAATTTACATAAAATGCTTTGTTTCTAAAAATTATAAAATTTCTTCCTTTTTTTAAATCGAGAAACATAACACACAGCTTTTCTAAAAGCTCTTTGTTACTTCATAGACTTTCTTCATTTGTTCCAAAGTTCTTGAGTCCGATTATTTTAGAATTTCATATTTTAGAAAAAACCCTAGAATTTTCATAACCTACTTTCTAGAATTTAATTTTAAACTTCTGAAAAATCAACAAAATCAAATCAATAGTAGAAACCTTAGTTTTATAATTATTGTCAAAATTAATCAACTAAGAAAACAGAAAGGATGAATACATTTTTGGGCAAAGAGGAAAAAATTGTTGGGGAAGAGAGAAGAGAGGAGCAAAGAGAAAAACGGGAAAGTACTTTTTTCTGGTGAGGAGAGAAGATGTCGAAGGCCAGAGAAGGGCATCAAAGTAGAAGGAGAAGAAGTAGACCCTCAGAGCCGAAGAGGGGAAGGAGGCGGAGCACTGACGAGGAAAGGAAAATGACTTCCAGGATAGAAAGATGGAAGTTGTTTTCCGCTAATGAAGGCCTATTTCCCATTTACTCTAATTTTCTAATCTTGCTAAACAACAGGAAGGGGGGAAATTGACTTCCCTAAATCATTTTCCCCTCTTTCAAATGGACCCTAAACTTAAGATATTGTGGAAGGTGTACGTACAATTAGATTAGGACAAAGAGATTATATTATATAGATTGCTTGTGATTAATCGATTTTGTAAGTATTTTTACACTAAGACAGAAGCATGAATCACAAACAGCAGGTAGGAAACAATTACCTAATTTTCTTCAAACGCTCAAGATCATCCCTTAGTTTCATGTCCAATGCATTGGACACAACCTGTGAATAGCTCCCATCCTTGTAATCCTTCTGCCTGTTGAGGAACCAGTCAGGGATCTTGAACTGTCGAGGGTTTGTAACAACAGTCATCAACTTCTCAATCTCCTCAGGGGTAAGTTCTCCAGCCCTGCAGCAATCATCCATGAGACGCACTTACAGTCAAAGTGTCAAACCATCACTTGATCAGCAACTAGAGCTTTAGAATAAATCACATGCAGCAATGAAGATGTGGAGTGAAGTAAAAATATTGATTAAACGCGAATTTGCGGAATTCGAAATGAAAAGAAAAGAAAGAGATTCTCTTCTTACTAAAATAGAAGAAAAATCATTTTCCTTCCTCTTAGAACCTGTACTCTTCAACTTATAATTATTACTTATTCATATTGGAATTAGTTCAATTCAAAAAAGTTCAGACAAGTTCAGATAAAAAATAGCTTTAAATATAACTACATTCAGTTCAGATAAGACCAAATTAGAACTTTTTCCAATCAGATTCAGATCAGATAGAGGGAACAAGCCCTTAGTTTACTTCTTCTCCCATTTTTTTCTCCTTCCACTTTTCTTTTATTTCTCCTCTAACCAAACAAGAAATGTTTTTATCTCTCATTTTCTTTTTTCTTTCCTTTCCAAATTCCTTGAACCAAACATAGTGGACAAGTCAAAATTTTAAAGGACATAGTATGAAACATGAACTTTTTTTTACAATGAATACAAAGATCAATATGAAGTAAGTCAGCACAAACATCCAACAAACAAAACTGAATCACTCGGGAAAAAATCATTCAAAATTGTGCCTTAAGTAATACTCCTTACATCCAAAAATAAGCTTCAAACTTCCTTTTTCAGTCTGTCGCCAAAGAAAACTCTGCACTTCTTTCAGTGAAGTAAGTCTGTAAGACTGTGAAGTTAGTTATGTGTGGGGACATGCAGAGTATTTCTTTTCTAATGCTAAAGCCTAAAGGTACACAATATTCCATTTCATAAACTCGAATTGTTTTCATTTTGACTGTCAAGGGTATACATACATAAATTGATGAAGACACAACACAAACAAACATCACAAAATAAACACGGTGCAGTGAGGATTTAATTACAGAAACAATACATTCATGACGGAACAAAAGTAACCTTCAAGAGGATAAACCAACAAGGAAAAACGAAGGTTGAACAAACACCATGAATCGAAGCTGAAAACGGTGAAGAGCAAAAGAAAGACGAAACCTTTTGTTCATGTCAATATCAGCTTTCTTGCAGCAGATGTTGGCGAATCGGCGGCCAATACCCTTGATGGAAGTGAGAGCGAACATGATCTTCTGCTTCCCATCAACGTTGGTGTTCTGGATACGCAAAATGTGCTGGAAATCTTCGCTCGCGACCAGACTCTGCAACACAAACAGCCATCAATCGATCAGGAATTGATGAAACGTGGATTTCACATAGAATCGCCTAATAAACTCACCATGGCGGCTGCGTCTTTGCTCTAACTCCTTTCGCTCTCCGGCAATGTCGCAACTCGCAACGAATCTAGACGGCTGCCTTAGGGTTTAAGGTGAATGATTTTGTTATTTACAATAGTCCCCTCCCAAAATATTCTTTACATTTCATTTTCACCATTAATATTATATATTTATATACGGAGTATAAATATATTTTATAACAAATTGATATTTTAAAACCATGTTTCAATTTTCAATAAGTATACATATTGATATTAAATTTATATCATAATACAATATATTTTTTCCACATATCGAAGTCAAAATTTACAAACTTTAACTAAAAAATGTTAAATGAAAAAACATTTTGAGATGGAATGAATAATAATTTAATAATAAAAAATGTACCCCATTTCCGAGAGCCTTGTGAGGGAAAAGAATACAAACAACAAAAATAGTTTTTTGAAAAATTTACTTCTTCCATTCGTAAATATTTTTCATGTATTGACTTGACATGCTTATTTAAGATTATGAATTAGAAAATGTCTAAGCTTCAATTAAGCCCCTATTTTAAACTTTTAAAGCTCCTTTTTCTAATAAAAAAGCAATAAAAAATAGATATGTACTAAAATGGAAATGTATTATGGACATTTAACTTTTAAAAAGTAGACTAAAAAATACGCGTAAGAGATATATTTTCAGACACACAAAAAAAGTGAAAAGAACATATCCAAACGGAGGAAGTAATCCGTAGTATGCAATAACATTGTTGGGATATTGGTCCAATGCTCGGGGTTGTGCTGGTGTGCCACACATCCTCGAGTCAAGTCACACTTCTACATGTCAGGTCCACATTTCACATGTGGATATTAGAAACACAAAAACAACTCTTTTAAAAAATATACTCTTTTCGATCGAGAATATTTTTCCCGTGTTAACTTGACATGTTCATTTAGGAGTATGAATTAAAAGATCGTAAGCTTCAATAAATGCCCATAACTCTTTTAGAGTTCCTTTTCTTATTCAAAAAAACATTAAAAAGTAGATGAGTAGTAAAGTGAATATGTATTATTGATATGTACCTTTTAAAAAATAGACTAAAAAAAGAAATGAGAAGAATATTTTCACATGAACTAAAAAAGAGAGTGAGAAAAACATATCTGAACGAAGGAAGTACCCATAGTATGCAATAACATCGTTGGGATATTGCCAGCACATCCTTGAGAGTTGAGTCGGCTACACTTAGCATCAAGAGCATGACGATCACTCTACCTGTTGTGGAACAGATCGGGTATGGTCCTACTTAAGTCGGTCTACTAATCTAGATTAACGAAAAATCGAGTGACAACTGCCACAAACTACGAGACAAACAAGAACATTAATTTATATTAGTCTCAAATATACGAACGATGCATGTCTCATTCGCACATCCGTAATTGTCATTTGGTCCTTAATCTCAATGCTATAAATAAATAAAGCGTGGGATATATATATATATATATATATATATATATATATATATAATGCGAGTTTATAATTTTTCTAATAGCTAATAAATAGTTTAAATGGTTGTAAAATATTTTAAAATATAAATGAATCGAAAATTTTTAAACGAACCAAATATATTTAAATGAATCGAATTTTTTAACGAACAGAATATGTTTAGTATATCAAACAAACCAATATGAATCTTAAAAGAAATTCAAACCGAATTCGGATTCAAATATCACCTTATCTAAACGAATACGAATATTATTCATGAATATTCGATTCGGTTCGTTTACAACCCTACGAGTAACGCAAAGACAGCAAAAGCTTGGCAATATAAGAAATCTAGGAAATGCAATTAAATTGGGATGCTCTGGAATGTTTCCCATGAACCCAAAGCTTGATAAACATTCTCACAAGAGTCATACAGCAATGTTTCCGAATTGCAGAGGTGTTCTCTACTACTCATATAATGTGCAGTGGTTCGAAACTTCTACTCTCTAAACGAGTGTTCAATCATTTACCAATATGGATGGCGATAGATAAGGAGCCTCCTAACTTCTTCTAGCAACATCCGGTGTAAGGCAACATCTCACTTAAGGATGCGAACTACGGCCAAACTAACAGCAGTAATAGAAACAAGAGTGCCAATGCAGTTCTTTATAAAATCGTATTTAGCTACCTCCAATTGCGCCCTTAATGAATGGATTTCCTGAATCCAACAAATGCACACAAAACCCATTAGACTTGAAACAATCGGAAGCAGGTTGTCTGTTATAAGGCGATACTTTGATGTGTGGGTCCCACATCTTGGTATGACAGTCCTAGTCCTCCAGGAACCGTGCATGGTAGAGGTTCCGGACTCGGATAATCATTCACAATCACGTAAATGCAAAGTACTTGGGTCTATGGCATGAGATTTAGTGTCAAAATTTTAAGCAAGTTCATGCCACAACCCCTTTGCAAAGGAATAATGAGATAACAGTTCAAACCATAATCATCAGCATTGACATAGCTAGGGGCAACCCGGGCCCCTACCAAATTTGGTAATTAAAAACACACACGGTATTTTCTGTGTAAATTTTACTATCAAAAGCTACATGAATGAGTTATTTTTCCATTTCAAGCCAAATTTGAATCTTAGGTGGCCTAGGTTATGCCAATGATAATAGATAAATAGGTTTTCCACTTGCAAGAAAAATATCACGGGAGAACTAAAATTGAAATATCCGTTATAGTCATGCTCCATTACAAGATTGATATTGTAAAACCAACCCGCAAATCATGGAACATGACCGACTCCAGAAAATCACTATTGAAACAAATGTTGTGCTTTTATAGATCAGTGCGCACTCACTCTATCAATTTTGTTTGTGAGGCTGGAGGTTTCCTGGTTCTGATTTGATAACTCATCCCGAATTCTCCTGAAATAGAAACAAACATCAGCAGCAGACATCCAAATAGCAATCAATATGCAGAAGACAAAAATATTGAGAGAGCACGATATTGCTCACCCCTTCTCAAGGTTAAGATCCAGCCTATGGCTAGCAGTGGCTTTGTCCATTTCATACCTGGTTCCATATAATGCACTTATCACACTTCCAAAACGTTGAAAATCAACTACTCAGTCCTATTTCCAAAAAAAAAGGCCCCACCACCAAAAAAACTCCTAATTCATCAAATGAAACTAATTGTTTTTTGGTACAGAGGCTATTTTTTCACGACCTACAAGAAAAAGAATAGTATGATTCATAGTTGTACCTTGCTAAATATTAAACAGTTGTAGCTTAAAGCAAATGACTGTTTTTTGGATGGAGAGAATTGAATATAAGGAACTTGTAACACTTTGAGTGAGCTGCAAAATTCAAACAAACCTCAATTCACGGCGCATCTTTTCAATATCACTTTTGAGCTTTTCAGCCTCGTGTTGCAACAAAGAGAAGTGGTTTTCCTACATTGCCAAGAGAAAAAAAGTATGGCAATTGAGTGACGCGTGAAATTTCATACTTTGCTATACAACTTATAAAGCAGATATCCTAAGTTATGAATTATCGAGAAACAAAAAAAACATATATTCCATCTGTTCATTAGTTCCAATCCAATCTCCCAACACACAATGAAATCAAAGTTGCCCTATCCATCTCTGCACGGAGAGTACATCCCAGAAGTCCACCTTGTACAATCCAAATTCATAAGGTGATTTAGCATATGGCACCTTCTACATTAGAAACCCTTCCCCCCCCCCCCCAAAAAAAAAAATAATAATAATAATAATAATGTACTCGGGTAGATATATTAAAACCCCAAGTTATGGTACATAGAAATTCCTGAGAATATAAGCATCAACAAGAACTGAATCATAAATAATCAATTACCATATCACACAAAAGCTTAAACCTTCTAGTCTTCACATAAAGAGTCGGTCTCCATGAATTGTAAATGCATACCTGAGAACTCCGAACTTCAGCATTGAACTTTGACAAATTTGATTCATGAGTCATCTCAATCTGGATGAAGAGAAAACATAGCACAAGTAAATTTTCTACACCGGATGTTTTCTATAGCAATAAGGGAAGAGAACTATTCCAACAGCCATTTCTAGCGACTCATAATCCAAACAATTCTATGAGCTTCTAAGGCAGGCTTACTTTCTGCAATTCATGTTTAGAAACAAAAGACCTAGACACGCTTTCCAAGCTATCTGTCAATACATCAGTTATAGCCGCCGTGATGGCCTCTGCTTGCTTCGACGGCACTCCTTGACCTTCCAATTCCCTCACCTTATAAGCAAGCAGATTTGGAAACTTTAGGTTAAAAGAAGAAGAAGACGAAGAAGAAATTCGAAAACCTAATGCAAGCAAAATCTGCAGGATCAAAACCTATCGGTGAAATAAGGAATAAGAGGAGAAGGCAATTTACAAGAGCCAGAGTATCGACGAAGAACAATCGCTTGGCGGTGGAGCTAGACTGCTGACAAAAGCTCCGGGAGCAATCAAATCGAGGCCGGCGGGCGAAACTCGTTACCAAATGCACTCCCGCGCGCTTCGCCGCAAGTGCGGCCATCGACGGCGACAAAGCGGTGGTGTGCGGAGGAAATGTAGCAAAAGTCTCGCAGTTGAAAGAAGAATGGATTGTTGAGTAGGCCGCAAGCAAAGCAATCTGTTCGAAGTTTAATAATTATGGCATATATCGTCGAGAAGAAGAAGAGAGCATCATCATCATCATCTTCGGCTTTAGATTCCTTGAAGATTGAATTTCTGGACTCCCCGTGGGAAAAAATTACTCCGCCGTATCCGAAAAAGAAAAAAAGAAAGGAACGCCGGATCCGTATCCCGGAAAAAAAGAACGCCCACCGTGGGGCTCGAACCCACGACCACAAGGTTAAGAGCCTTGCGCTCTACCAACTGAGCTAGACGGGCTTGTTGGTCAGTGATGATACCAATTCTTTATTTATCAATGATAAATGTTAACCTTTCCCATCATAAACAAAAATGGCCATAAGAAAACGGCCAAAACAAATAACACTCTCCTTACATGTGGTGTGAAAGAATAAAAGAGACAACAATTACACTTTTGTTTTCAACATTTTTTTTATTATGTGAAGTCAAAATGTAAATTTTATTATGGAACGAAGAAATTATGTAACTTTAACTCTTAAATCGATCAAAGAATTAAATTCTTCAAATTTGCGATAGCAAATCATTTCAAAGCCATTGTGTAAAAAAATGACCATGCTATAACACCCCACCTCTGTCCCGCCTTTTGTTACAGTTACTAAGAAGCTACCAGATAGAGGAAGAGGAGCTTCAAGTTAATCTGCAATCTAGAACTAAAATGAAGACCAAGAGAAAAGATACAAAGAGAGAGAGAAAGAGAAACGAGAGTGATGAGAGCAGAGTAAGAAATTGTTATTTCATTTATTGCTTCAAAATACATGTTATTCCATTTCTTGCTTCAAAATACAAAGATATCAAGGGTTATATAGCGACACAAGACTAACACCCAATTATAATAAAGCTTCGTTTGATACACGAAATTAAAACTATGGAATTAAAATTGGAGACTACAATTTCAATTTTGTTGTTTAGTAGCACAAAAATATGTGAATTTGAAATTGATAGTACCAAAAACAAATTGGAATTGCATGACTCAATTTCATCCAAATCAATTCCATAGAATTTTAACTCTTACTTCAATTCCAGTTATGTCAATTCTGTGTACGAAACAAACCATAAACTAACAGACTCAACCATTTCTTAACTAACTAACCACCTATATCACCTTTCACCCCACCTTCTCAGAAATATCCACAAACTCCCGTTACTATGTAGTGAGAAGGTTAGAGTGAAAAGTGCGAGAGAATGAATGTGACTTTAACATTATTTTTCCAAAAAAAAAAAAAAAACTTAAAACCCCTTTACAGCTCTATTTGCAACCCCCTAACATATACCCAAAAACAAAAGCATTCTTATAAATAAACAAATAGAATCCCCTCTATACACACCCTCAGTTATATGACTTAAACCGGCCTATTTCTTGACACAGGCACGACCAAACACGGGAAAATAGGTGTCCAGCTGAAGCAGTTCAAGAATCTGTTGGCTTGTCCATAGGTAAGCAGAGTGGCCATCAATGAGTTCAGTTACATCAACCTGTTAAAAGGTAAGAGCCCCTCTTATTAAACCACCCCACACCGGAAAACAAACAAACAAACTTGGAAGTTCACCGCGGACTTACGTTCTCAACTCCAGGCAATTCCACTGCTTGAATCCCAGCCAGCCCTTGTGTGAGCAAACTGTCAAAACAACCAAATGCATTAGCTGCTCGAATCTTCTAAGTCTCATTCTTTTTGTTTGACCTTATGGTTTCCAAATAAATATTCTCGTGTTCATATTATGTTTCCTATGCTCATATTTAGATCTGATTTTTACATTCTTGAATATTGATTGAGCAATTATCCATCATAAGGTAATAAGCTAAGATGTGCTGCGTGGAAAGAGCATTTATTTATGAAAGGATATGAGACTTACCTAGCACGAAATGCAACTCCAAGCATCCAATCGTTTGTAGAATAGACATTTATGAACCTCCCAGCCACCACCTGCAAAAGGTCAGGTTTTAAGAAAAATAAAGAGCTAACGATTAAATGAAGTGTGGGAAGTGGAGAAAATGTTTCCACCAGTTGTGGGGAACGATTAGGGGATGTGAAAGTAAAACCTTTCTAGCGGCTTCCCAGTTCATATCTTTAATCGCAATTGGTGCCCCAAGAAGAACAACTCTTTCTACGAGTCTAGCTGCCCGAAATTCCAAAAGGTGCATAGAATTTGAGTAAGTAAATTGATTCATTAATTACTACGTATTAATCATAAAAAAGAAAAAATTACCATTTTTTTCGGTTTCAGATAAAATCTGGAGACATTTGAAAATTACTCTTGCCCCTAGTGAAAACCCAACTAATGTCACGGGCCTGAAATTTTCATAAGCAATCAAGAATGAAGTTGATAATGTGCAACTTAAAGAGAGCCTCTGACATAATGTAATTTTGGGTGATTCAATTATGTGTTCATTTTAGAAGTTAACAGATTAATTTGAGTACAAAAATGTTGCACCTGTGCCCTTGCAACCCTTTCTGCAAAACCTCTGCGAGCAGTTTTCCAGCCTTATCAGATCTATAAATAGAGGCAACTAATCGCAGCTTCTATAAAATACAGAATGAGAAAATAGAGGCCACTAACAAAGATCGCCTATCAGCCTCTCAGACACAAACATAAGCAAAGTACCTGTCTACAGCGATTGTCCATCTGCTGTCTATAAAATCAGTGAGAGCAAGTAATGTAGCTGGCCAAGCCAATGCCGTTAAAATGGAGCTTAATACTGTCATCATGGCCCCTTGTTTCATTAATTGTAGAGCAATGCCTGCAAGTAATCATTTACTTGAAGTAAGCCGATCCTGAATTGCAGTGATGTGTAACTACAAGTAAAAAAGACCATTTACTTGAAGTAAGCCAATCCTGAATTGCAGTGCTAACAGAAATTAGATTCCTGGACTCCCACTGCAGTGCATATCTGAGCAATTGAAATGCCAGTAAAAAAATGCATGTAATAGTTCAGCATCCTATGCACAACCAAGAATCACTATCGTCATCAACTTAATTGCAACTAGTTGGGGTTGAGGATGTTAAATTTGCAGTGAGAATTCATTTTCTACAATTTTTAACAATATATATTCAACAATTCATGCAAATAATTGTACTCCGTAATATTGATAATGGAAAAAGTTTTATGTTGGATGCCATTCTCGTCTAACATTCTTACTGCAGTATCATGTGTTAATGAATGCACAAAAAGTGCTGGGTAAAAATATCGGAATGTCTACCTTTCTAAGTTATTGTGGTGTCCTTCCCAAGGTCTAACAAAATCCCTCTCCTCAAAAACAAATCCAGCGATTAATATTTCAACTGCCAGCCGCTGAATGGAAAAAGTAAAATGTCACAAGTGTTAACCAAAGATGTAACCAAGGGCATTTCCCAATCAGTGAAGAAATGGGAATTTCATTCCCAAAGAGTGAAGGTGAGTTCTGACATGCCGCTGGAATGAAAAAGGTGTTCCTGCCATACTGTGTATTCTCCCTTTTTTTTCATTTTCACCAAATTAATTAACAAAAACTTACCATTTTCTTTATATTTTAGTTAAAGTCTCAACTCTAAAAAAACGTCTCAACTCTGTTTTAGTTCAATTTTAGTAGTTCTCTCCAAAAATATCGTCCTAGTTTGGCTTTTTTTGCCTCTTTGAACTCAAATTAGATATAAAGATAAATAAACAAATGTTTATAGATAGTGTATCTAAATTAAATTTTTGGCTAAAAGCTTATATTAAATAATAGAACAAAACAATTTAAAGAAAATGAATATAATATACATTGAATATTAAATTTGAGTTCCAAAATTTTAAACAAATTGAATATAATAAAATAGATATTTGTTTGCCCATTTTTTAAGATCTTCAACAAGTGTCTCGCCTCCCCAATAAAATTTAAAAGCATTAACGGTACAAGTAATATCGTTCATTATTTGACTTTTGTGGCTTGCACTGACAGGGAATACTTTTTCAAAAGCTCCACTGCTAGGGAATCAATTCGATGTAACCAAGGTGACAACCACAAGCATATAGAGATGAACCAAAGGTATATCAACATCAACTCAAATAATAAACTAAAACATAGATACAGACAGACAAAGTTGAAAGATCAATAGTAATCAGAAAAGAAATCCAAGGACTCACGCCTTGGTTATGGTTTTCCCCAATTGCTTTAAACTCAAATTCATCAACATCTCCTATTCTCCGAGCCATTTTAGTTCCTGTAAGTCCTGCTCCAGCAGCTGTGCATACAAGAATCAATAAAAACACGAGGGGTCAGAACATACATATTACTATACACCTCCTCCATTCATTAAATGCTGCCTTAGACTAGAGAGATAAAGAGAAAGTAAGGTTCTCAGGTAAGTGCCACTTTCCTATATCAAGAGAGCAATAAATGCTCTTTTCCACCGTTTCCTTTCTCCATCTTTTTATGATCTATAGGCGCCATTATCCACACCTTAATCCCAAATAGTTGGGATTAGTGGCATTAATTTTATGAGGCTAGATAATTGAATAATATTCCTTCACAGCGAGAGAGTATTGATTTTACATGTTCAAAAGCACAAAACATATTTTCGGAATTATCCTATGTTCCTTCATAATGAATATTAGTGTCCACCTCCAAATGATGCAGCAACAGCAACAGAGCCAACAACACTGCCCGCAGCAGTTGCGACAGCAGCAAACCCACTAGCTCCGATAACAGGAACAAGAGTTCCCAATGTTGGTGCCAAAGCACCAAACCCTGCAGCAATAGCTGGAGCAGCTAAACCTGAAAGGTTTTAAACAATTAGTGTTTTTCTTTAGCCCATACTGCAACTCTGGAATAGCACTCTAGGGATGATGCCAATGATATGCCATACCACCAGTGATTGCCATTAATGTTCCTCCAGTCAATGCTGCCGCACCTATGATGCCTCCTCGTTTCCACTTTGCCCAAGAGCTTCTAGAAGATTTGTCTTCTTCTTTGGACTCTTCCTCTTTCAATAAAGCCATTGCTGAGCAAGCAACAATCGTTTCAATGGCTTCCTGAAACATAATCATGCTTTCAAGTTGAGCCCACAATAAATTTGATTTTGAAAATATAAATAGATATCCCTCCACCCAAAAAGATGGATCACATACTCATGCTTAAAAGAATCCTATTTCATAAAACCGAGCTATGTTTTCATGAAACTTACTTTTAAAAAATGTTACAAACAAGTGAAATAAGATCAATTTAGTTTAAAATACCAATAACTTTCAAAAAATGAATAGGCTTTCATGACCTTTAAGTGTTGCACATTATCAAAATTAAAAGGTTGTACCTTAAACGAACAGAGTTTTTGTTTTTATTGACCTTGTTATGGATTGGCATTTATTTCATACGCGATAGATTATTAGGACTTTATGTAGCAGCATTTATGGATCGGTATACAAAGTGTCTTTAGATCCTCCGTTGCTTAATCTAGCGCCTATTCCAAGAAAATCATGACATTGGTGAAGAGGCATGTTATGTATTTATACTCATCAGGAATAAACACGGTCATATACCACTTTAATCCATTTGACATCAAGCCATGTAGCAAGTAACCGCAAAGCCACACGATGCCTAGCATCATAGCCCTTCCTTCGTTGAGCAGAAGTATTTTTATTGTTAACTGGTGTATCTGCCAGACAAGCTGAAAGAAGTTCATACAGAACAGTCAATTTCCTATTATATGGAATCATTGTAACATCTGGTGCTGGTTTTTCATCAAACCCGCTAATAGGCTCCATATGTGCATGTATGTTGCTTGATGGTTCACAAATGGCCTCCCATTGACTTTCGGCATGTATATTTTCTGATTCAGTCTTTGAACTTGAAAATTTCTCACGACATTCATACTCATATTCACGTTGTTTCTCCTTTTCAGACTCGTCGTCAATGGTTCTGTCAATGCTAGATGCCATAGAATTTATACTGTTCCCCAAAGCAATTTCTGTTTGAAGTACTTCTGATGAATCATCCACACTTCCCTCAGATAGTAACCTGAGAAACTGAAGTGCAATAAAACAAGATTATAGTAACCTGAGAAACTGAAGTGCAATAAAACAAGATTATCAGGCATTATAGTAAGAAGAATCATCGACAATTTTCCATAATAAGTTTCATTTTGGGAGGTTTCACACATATTAAAAAAATATACTATACTACCTAAACACCTTCCTTAACTCTCTCAAAAAAATGATTAATCTTAGTGCACAACCAGAAACATAAAAACAATCAATTAATCAAAAAATCAAATTTCAATCCAGACTAATCCTCCACCATTACAGATGATAAAACTTATGAACTAATTATGGACATGCAGTCCCATATTCAAATATTATTGTTTTCCAGAGATAATATAGCACTACCTCTGTTCAAAATATGTTTCATTTTGGGAGCTTTGGCACGTATTTCAAAAAGCATACTTACTGCCTCCATCACAAAATAGCTTCAATATTGACCGACAGTTGAAATTGGGCTTGATTTATGTAGAATAGAGAAAATCATCTGCATCACACAAATCTTTCTTAAACGCCCAAGTATACTTTTTTTAGACAAACAAGAAAAGAAATACTCCCTCATTTCCAAAAAAACATTATCGACTTTCCATTTTTGGATGTCCCAAAAAAACACTTCCCACTTACTTTATTTCCTTTTTGAGCAATGAACATGTGGCTCACAAGATTTCTCTCTCATTTAAACTATACACTTTTCTTTAATTTTGTGTAAGTCAAGTTGAATAAAGTCTTTTGGGACAGGAATATGAAACTATTTTGAGAGTATAATTATACCTAGAACATCCTTAATCGATACCCTCCCACTCTCTCTCAAAAAAAAAGATGTGAAAATGACTCGTGTTATGTTATTACAATCAGAGGTAAAAAAATGGAGAGAGTTGAGAGGTCAAACTAGAGAGAAAATTGAACAGTCTACCTATACATTCTAAAAGAACACCTAAACAACAACACAACAGCAACCAAGTACCACAAATGGGGTCTGGGGTGGGTGTACGCACACATTACCCCTCCCTAGAAAAGAGAACTAATAAGAGCAGTTAGAGGTCAGCACTTTGTTTAGGTAGGGGGGCAAATTTACCATTAAAATTAGTCTATAACGTTTGTTGGTTTGGTTTTCATGCTCTAGCGTGTAGCGTGTGCTTTGGATGTCATCATGGGTGCTTATTCTCTCTTTACGTGTACTGCATTCATGCGACTGTAGTTTGTTGGACCATATTTTGGATTTGAGCCGGGAACTAGAAACAACATATCTACTTCAAAGTAGGGTAAGGTCTATGTACTCTGCGTGGGATTCTACTAGATCTATTGTTGTTGTGGTGGTGGTGGTGGTGACCCTGTAAGGGCATATAGGTCTTTTTGCCCATTTGTTTGAAACTTTACCTAATCCTCTACCTACCAAGCATTTTTTCCTAGAAAAACATTTTGCAATTTTTTCCCCACAATTATATAGGCCAACCATATAAATGTAATCCTAACGAAAACTTATTTTGCAAAATTATAGAACTCCCTAAACATCTTTTATCTGAAATTTAAGAACTCCCAAAATGTCACCTATTACAAACAGCTGGGAGGCTAGGAGTATAACGATAGATGGATTGAAAGTCCATAGAGAAGAAGAGAAGGAAGAACCAACCGCTCCCACATGATGCTGGGCAGGTGACTGGCCAGCAGTTTCCTCAAGCCCAGTCCAAGCTGTGGTATCAATCCCTAGAAACCTATCATCCATAAATTCGAAAGAAAAAAACTGAAATCAAGCAAATGAAATTATGCCATTTCAAAACGAGACGATCACAGTCGATCAGAAATCCAATCTATATCTCAACTCAGAGGGACGCAATAATCACACGAAAAAAAATGTAAATTATATGGAAACAGATTCGCCCTAACTGGAAGACGGGGCGGAGGAGAGCAGAAGAGTGGTGGACCCAAAGCTGGGAGTCTTCAGAGACGGAGTCGCTACTGCTGCTGCTTCCAGTGCTGATGCGGTCACCGGTTAGGCCTCCGTCTTCATCGGAGGGGAGCCCCAAAGGACGTGTCTGGTGGATCTGTGCCTGATGAAGGGCCAGCCCGAAGAGAGCGCCGGCGGCGTACTTCTGCGTCGGCGTGAGTATCGATGAAGACGGCGACATTTGCTTATAATAATAATTTCTGCTACTGCAAAATGTTTGCGTGTCCGATTCGAATTACTGATTCAAAGGCAGAGAAGAGAAGCTCAGAAGAGAAGAACGAACATCTGATCTTTCCTTGAAGCTGCGCTTTTCTCTGACTCTGAGACTCTCTTCTCAATTTTTCATTTTTTTTTTGCGCTCGGATTTTTCACATAATAACGACTTTCCTGAGTTTCCTCGTGTGGTTCGTTCAGTTATTCTTCATATTAGACCCCAAAATAAAACTCATGATTAGTGGTCAAACGAATTTTATTTTATTTTTTACATCCTTATTGATCATTTAATAAAATAATTTTATCATAATTTGTTCATTAAAACATTTGATGTAATTTTTTGATTTATAATTTTTATTTTTTGATTATATACAAATTTTTACTTATATGAAAATTACTTTAATCAAATATCGTAAATTGAATATAAGCTTTCTTTTGGACATAGGAAGTACTATGTATATATGTTTCATTGGCTAAAATGAATTGTTCTTTGAATGGAACAAAAATTATAAATTTAGTACTCTATAAGTATAAAGTGAGAATTAACTATCGAGCCAGTTCTGTGGTCACTCTCTTTGAGTGGTCTACGATACTCCCTTGATAAAGGTGGTAGTAGTTGCTATCACCTCTAACTCGTAAACACTCTCATTCAGTCCTGACTTCTGCCCATTCACCCACTCACGTCAATCACATCCTACAAATTTAGTTGACTTGTGAATCAAAAAAAATTGACACTAATTACTCACAAATTAAATATAATTTTAAATAAATAAATGATATGGAGTACAAAATATATATCTCTTCTATAGGGCTGCACCTCTAAATCCTTTACTCTAAAAAAATATACTCCGGGTATTTACGAAGTACTTTTTACAATTTATATCTCAAAGAGTCACAGTTTGATTAAAAAAAGTGAACAAAGATAAGAATTCGGGGATGGAAGAAGTACCTAACTAGAAAATAATTTGGTCACTAATTTACCATAAAGTTACAAATATTCTCGGGAAGATTTATCACTTATCAGAATAAGACATCAAGTTCACCTCGCTAAAGGCCAAAATAACATTACTCGGGGTACATTCCTATACAAAACCATACTTACCAAAGTCTTCATATCAACTTCTTGTGCATACAAACTAAAACACATATATCTACAAAGACATAACAAAGCATTAGTACAACAAAACCCACCCTTGTAATAATTCTCTCTCCTGCCCCTCTGACACGTCAGCCTGCCCGTTTCTAGTCTGCTATGATTTTGAGGAAATGAAAAGTTCAGGGCATTTTGGGATTTTACCTAATAAATTAACAATGTGATTTATCAGTGGTGGTACAAACATTAGGTGCATCTGCCTTGCTCTTCCCTCTAAACAAATCCATTTGCACACCAAAAGAATAAAATAGGAGAACGAACGAACGCCGCGCAGCACAGTAGAGGTCATGGGCCCGTGCCGATTCACGGGTGGAAATAGTCGCACGATGCTCCCTTTTTGCAACGCCCGCTTTCGTAAAATTTACAAACCCGGTGTGATTTGTGAGGAGGAGGCCTTGAATAACCACCGCCGCCGCCAGGAATCGATTGTCTGTTATTCCAGGTGGTGGGTCTACTAGTCCTGCCACCACTGCCGCCACCGGGGTACCCTCCTTGACCTGTCCAGTGGTCTTTTGGACCAGGAGGAAAAAACCTCTCTGCACTATACTGCCTCCTTTGGCTGTAGTTATCCGGTGTCACATTCCCCCCATCAAAACCACTGCGCTTCATGTTTGGATTGTTTCTCCAAGCTTGCCTCGATTCAGCATTTGTGTGTCCATGGTGAGGATCTGACTGGGATGCACCCCCATAGTTCATGTTTCCTCCTGGTGTAGCCACAGCCCAGCTGGGGACCCCAGCTTCGGATCCTCTGCTTTGACCCACACCCAAGGCTACACCGGAAGACATGCGGCAGTCAAAGGAGAGATCAGTTGACTTTGTTTCTCCAGCACTACTCGTGGACGAATGCCCATTGCTCCTCCTCGACAGAGGATCAAAAGCCGCCACGGGAACCATTTCATTTGCGGCCCGCAGCTGTATATCTGCCGTGGAACTACTGTAGGCATCATTCTTTGTGGTGGGGTCAGGTGCAGAGGCGTTCATCTCCTCGATGGAGTTAAAGCAGTCATCACTCTTACTCCACAGCATCAGTTCCACGCTACACCTCATGGCCGAAGTGGGAGAAGAGCCTCCTACTCCGCTTTGGGCTTGTGATGATTCCATCGCATCCACTTCGGCTAACAAATCGGACACCGACTCTTCGGCCAAAGTACTGAACTCAATTACGTTCGGGTGGGGCAGAGATGAATGAGTCACATCCGGTGGTTTAAGTGATGATGGAACAGATACAAGGCCAGGATCCCAGCCGTCAAGAACTAAACTACATACAGTGCTCTGGGGTGGGCCCGCCTGATCTTGAACGGGAATTGTTGAAGGGGAATGTTCACTGCTAGCTCTTGGTGGTGGACTTGAACGCTGATGAAAAGGAAAGTCTGACGACAAGGAGAGTAGTTCTTTTGCAGCTTGGACTTCCCAGCTCTCATAATTACTCTTTTTTGGTGTGGGGCTGGGAAGATCTGAGAGATTATTTGCTCTGCCGTCCTGCTCTGGTGGTGGTGAGTCAACTGACTTGGCGGTAGCCTGCACGAACTGTGTGGTGGAAGGGCCTATATCTTCTGAGTCTGTTATGGGCAAGGGATCTAAGGATCCCCAATTTTCACCAAACAGTTGGTCCATGAAACTCTGCCCGTTACATTGCATCTCATGTTCTATTGTATCAGTTGGATGATGAGACATGGTGTCACTGCAGGGTTCCTGTTGACCAACTTCCATCTGTTGTCCTTCACTAGATGATGAACGGGGAGGATGCATGCTGCTATACTCCTGAGGTTTATCAGATGATAAACTGTCTTCGTGCAGCAAATTCAAGCATTGCAACGAAGGACGAGAACTCAAATCGGCATTCAAATGGACTACTTCATCATCATGGCTATCTTTCTCTTTACTTTCTTTGACAGAAGTTCCATTAGAACTTGCAGGCCACCCGATATCCGGAATCTGAGGTGGCGCATGGGATGGCCCGTGTATATCCGGAATCTGAGGTGGTGTATGGGATTGCCCGTGCAATGCATCTCGTAAAAGTATTGATTCATTACGCTCATCCCTTGTCCATACCCTCATGTCAGGTGGGAAAAGCCCTGTTTTGCTCCACCTCCTCAACTGTGTCATGGAAAACGGCCCTTGTATGGTCCCACTAGGATCACGGTAATGCCACAATTTTTCTGTTCCATCACTATCCAGAGGAGGAGGGGTCGAATTTGCTATTGAACGACTTGGAATTGAAGTTTCAGGTTCACATCTAACTGCTGCCTGATCTACTTGTTGATCACTAATCACTGAACTACAAGTGGACGTCTGGTTAAGTCGTTTCTCCGAAATATGGGCTCCTGATGTATCTGCTTTTTCGTTCGGTCTATGTGGGGCCATCAGTGCAATAACAGCACCTTCTGCTTTAGCTGGACCGATAAATCAGCATTTCTAGTTATACAATAAGTTGGGTTTTCAAAAAATTATTCAGAACTGTGGTTACAGAATTTACCTTTCTTTATGGGAGGATGGGTTAGCTTGCTCTCATTCACCTTATCAAACCTGATGTTTCTTTGCCTCAGATTTTCATCTGCATAAAGAACAGAATATTCCTCTATTACTTGATAAGAAGAAATAAAAAGTACTACCTCCACCCCAAATAAAACAAGTTTAACCAAGGCATAGTACAATTGTTATGTCGTCAATTTTAGTTGATTTTTTTGTTTTGTTTTTGGCTTTAACGAAATTTATCATACTCTATTTAACTTGTATTTGGGAGTCACTTTTGAGAAATTACATGGAAAATATTCTCATTTGTTGAAATGAGACTAATTGTTTGGACAAACAATATTTCCTTTGAAACATCCTCCTTAATAAGAATAGATGAGGTCATAAACCTACTCCATAATAATCAAAAGATAAAAGCATCAGTTAAACATCCCAGAAACCTTGTTTCTTGTCATTAGGTTGTCCAACATCTTCTGATTCATAATTAGGGTTCATCATTGGATCAGCATGCACCTCAGGAATTTCAAGCATTCTCCTATGACGTTCCTCAGCCGTCTTCAATTGCTGCAACTTTGCTATACATTCTCTGAGAGTGCAAATTGTCAAGGCATCCCAAATACTTGATAATTCTCAGATTTAACAGCTAATCTATCTTATTTTAGCTCCATGACAGTGAAGAGAATACAAGGTGATTCCTTAACATAGACATAACATTATGCCAAACTAACACTCTTCACACAGCTTCCAAAAACAAAGAAGCTATAGTTGCAACAATTGAGGAGCTCAGTCAGCATTCAGCAACTCTGCAGAATTCTGGACTATCTTCTTTCCCTCAAGAAGCACTTATGTTTCTTCAGAAAACAGCTTAGATGAGACTATTAACTTAAAATACTCCGTATTCACTACTCCCTCCGTCCTAATTTTGATTACAAATTGGGACTTACGAGGCAAAATTATACGTTTTTTGAAATCATTTTATTTACAAATTTGTACATCAATAAAGAATAAAACATACATATTAAAAAACTACGTCAAAAGTTCTACAAAACAAGAGGTGACAAAAATATTTTATTTTATCAAATAATCAATGAAAACACACAAATAAACAAAAGTTACGGAGAGGTGAGAGAAAAAAATGTAATCAATTTTGGGATGGAGGGAGTATTTGAATTACAAACAGCATGTACTGCACCACCAAAGGATATTCTTTCTTACGCCCATTTTCACTTGCTCTATCGCGAAGATGGTTGAGCCGCAGTATCTCTGATTCCAAGGACTGTACAAAAAATCAACATGAGAACAAAAAAAAATGTTTTGCACCCACCCCCCCCCCAAAAAAAAATAAATAAAGAGGTTAAGTGGTAGAGAATATATATGTTACATCACTTAGTTTCACAGGCCGGAGTTCCATTGCTTTCTTCTGTATCTCACCCTGCAAGAAATCTCAGGTGTTAATTATCACCAGTTCTAGCAGTAATTTGGAAATACATAGAGGGCGTAGACACAAAGGCTTACAACAGTCATCGGTTTTACGAGCCCACACTTAATACTTTGACGTAATCGTCTACATTCATCCTGTAAATTTGAAAACCCTGGATAAATTTTAGGACCAATAAAAATGCAAACTCTTGATGATGTAAAAAAAATGTTGTATGCCATGTACGTTAAATCTTACTACCGATATGCTATGTGTCCGTATACCATACATCTGTACAGTGTTTCCCATACATCATTGAATGCTCATTGACGAGTAACACATTACTCATTTCATATCTTTATTTATTTTAGTATTTGTTCAAAACATGCACATTATAAAATATATGTATGCACATTTGAGAACTACATAATGCTCATTACAATCATATAGAATGTTCAATTACAAGTAATACAATACTCATTTCATGCATTCACGGAATATTTTTTAAAAACATGCTCATTATAAAATATATATGTGCACATTTGGTGCTTATATGTATGCTCATCACGTTTATATAAGAATTATTCACTTTGGAGCCATACTAGTCTCCGACATGTTCCTGCAACCCGACGCACCCGGCTCCCCTCTTTGCAACCTAACCCAAAAAGAAGCAGAGACCCACCAGTGTGAGTAGAAGCTAGACGGTAGCTGTGATTAGATGCAACCCACATTAGCGCCCAGACACGTTCGCGCCAAGCATTGCGGCTACAAGGTCCTGGCAGTCGAGTAGAGCTAGGACTTCGAGGGTGTCAAGATCAGTAGTGGAGCTCAGACACACATACACACACACTCACATCTCAGCCCCTAGGTCAAACCCCCTCCAACTTGCATTAATTTACAATTTTGCCACCCAATGTACAAGAAGAATGGTACAAGTGGTTGTACCATATAAACTGTGTTATGTTTATGGCTTTTAGACGGACACCAAATAAAGACAAATCTGGAAAAAAAATCAGAAAACCAATAAGACAACTGCACCAACCCTTTACCCATACCTCAGAGAATTCTTGATCGGAAAGAGTATCAATAGATACAGCCTCTCTTTTGTCCAGATTCAGTACTTCAAGCATTATATTTGTTGTCTTCTCTCCAATCTTGTATGGTGTGGTCACTCTGCACGTACCTACAATTGAGATTTCAAAGAAGCAAAAAACTCAGGCTCCCAATGCCTAACTAAACCAACAACAAGAGGTAGTGATTACTTTAACAAGGTAATACATTTATACCTACAACATGGACAAGCCTGTACATATCCAGCTTCTGATCATTTGCAGATATTTTTATACGAACAATGGACCCTATGACTTTATCATGGAACTTCTCCCCGTCTTCCAAGATATTTTCCATCAAACCACGCCGTAAATATATAAGATTTATATTATGGGCATCAATTGCAGCGTACTCGTCAAGACTATTTTGTGGAGCTTTTTCTTCACCCTTTTTGCATGGTTTACGTCTCTTATTTTTGTTTCTCGAGGACGAGTTACTTACGTTGGCCTCCAAATGGTTAGAGCTACTCCCAACAATTCCAGCTGGTATAAAAGCATTTTTCTGAGTACAGTCCTTTATAAGAAAGTGGAACTCAATAAGCTTCAACATTTCAATGTGTCCAAGACGTGATTTTCCAAACAGATTCTTGAGCTTTAGATCACAAAGAATTTCACTCTTCTTGTGCGGATCTCGAAGATTATTCCTCTTTATGTAATTTAACAGAAGTTCCTGAACATCAAACTGAGAAAGAGGTGACATATCACCATTTTTCATATATGCAACAAACTCCAACAACTCTTTAGTTCCCCATTCAGGGTATCCTTTCATAACTGAGTCATTAGCTTTGCTTTGAGGCTCATCAGAATTCGTCTGTCCCAAATGTTCATTATAAATGCCAATGCAGGCATTTTCGGATTTGGCAATGTCTGGATTGTCAAGAATCAAAGAATCTTCCTTAGCCAACTCTTCCTTTCCCTTGTTATTCTTTAGCTCTACATGTCCAATTGACTTACCAGTAACACCTTCACTATTATTTGCATAAGGATGAACACTATCTGATTTGGCATTGTTATGTTTATCAGGAATTAAAGAATCTTCCATACCTAACTCTTTTCTTTCCTGGTGATTCTTCAGCTCCAAATGTTCAGAGGACTTGCCAATAATATCTTTACTATAATTTGCATAAAGATGAGTATTATCCAATTGGGGAATGTTTGAATTTTCAGGAATTAAAGAACCTCCCTTAAATAACTCTTCCATTTCCTTGCCATTCTTCAGCTCTACGTGTTCAGAAGGCTTGTCATTCGCACAAAGATGAGCATTATCCAGTTTGGCAATGTTTGAATTTTCAGGAATTAAAGAGTCTTTCTTAGATAACTCTTCTATTTCCTTGTGATTCTTCAGCTCTTTATGTTCAGAAGACTTCCCAATAACAACTTTACTATCATTTGCATAAAGATGAGCACTAGCTAATTGGAGCTTGGACTGTGTTGCAACAGCTTCTTTCCTAGGATTCTTTGCTTGAATAAGTTCATTTGATGTTAATGATAACTTTTCTTTCAAAAGAATCCAGTATACCTTGAAAAGATACTCCCAGCTAGTTTTGTCATCAAAATCTACTTGAACCTGCATGATTTATGACAAGCAACAGAAAATAAGTGCATGATTTTAAAGCTCATAGTATCTCTTTTTTTTTCCTTTTTGGTGGTGTTAAGGATAATAAGAAAGGAGATGCTGCAGTTGGATTAATTCAATCATCATAGCTACACATAATAATCCATCCTTATTGCCATCACAACTTGAGACACTACTATTTTTTTAAATGCTAAAGGCCTACCCCCCCCCCCCC